AAAGAAGTCCCTTCACCTATAATTCAACCGCAAGATCAAGTCTACTATATTAGTGAAAAAAAAGGAGAAGAAGAGCACAAAGAGAATTCTTCTCAAGAAAGTAAGCCAAAGGTTAAAATGGAGAAGCACTTTGGGAGGACACCATTTCTGAATGATGGAGCTTGGTCATCACCAAGCCCATGCTTTGAGCCACCATGAACGTAAAAGAGGTACGTCAGGCTCGTGACGTAAAACAAGCGCTTGTGGGAGGCGACCCAACTATATTTTTATTTTCCAACATTTTAGTATTTAGTAATTTAATTTTAGTTTAGCTTATTTTAATTATTCTTAGCATAGTTTATTTTAGTCATATCATAAAAATCAAAAAAATAAAAACATTGAGGTTAATGATCAAATTCTGTTGAGATGGACTTTCAGGTGTAAGTGGGATTAAAGCATACACAGGTACGCAACTCTTATTCATTTATATGTTTTGTGTATGATACTGAGCAGAATTATTGAGGTGGAAGAATACATAGTAGAGATGAATGCAAGGAATAGGAAAATATGGAGAAAATATTTTTAAGTATTGAGAGCTTAAGCCCTTAAAGGAGGCTTAAGCCCCCAAAAGTGAAATTTCTCTCGGCCCTAGCGCGCTTAAGCTCTCCAAATCGCGCTTAAGCGCGCTCCACGATTGAAAAAACCCATACGAAGAGCGCGCTTAAGCCCCCAAGGGGAAGCTTAAGCGCGATAAACAATAAAAGTGACCATAACCCACTGCCTCTCCGCGCTTAAGCGCGAGAGAGGAAGCTTAAGCGCGCTAAATAAATTTTTATCCATTTCTCACTGCCTCAGCGCGCTTAAGCTCGAATCACTGCGCTTAAGCGCGCTCATCTTTGACATTATGCATACTGTTAAAGTATTTTAGTTCCATATACTCATTATTATTTTCAGATGCATCTGAATATAAATCTGGGAATTGTTATGTGGAAATTGCACTAACTTTGCAAACATGCTGGATACTCGAATACTAATGTTGATATGGTTGCAAACACTACTCAGGATGCTGATAGAAATGATATTGCACCCACTACTGAAATTGATGAGGATTGACCATTGTCTCAATGTTTAGATTTTTTTCTTTTGTTGATTTTAGTGCATGTTGACATGAGATGTATATTGAGACTGATCCTGACATGACTGATTTTTTTTGGATATATGACATGCTGACGTAGTTTCTTTATCTGTGACATGTGTGCAGAGTACAGTATCATTTTTTTTCTGATATCTTGCTTAGGATTCTTTTTAGATTTAAATTTATTGCTGAGGACAGCAAGATTTAAATCTGGGAATGGGTACCCACGCAATTTATCAGACCATAAATTTCACATGGTCGGAAGGAGAAACTCATGATTACACGGAGCACACAGAAATATCCAAATTACAAATGCAGTTTTTCAGGGGAGTTTTCTTAATATTATTTTCATATTATAGTTCATTATTTTTATATTATTTAGTATTAGTTTAATTTAGAATTATTTTGATTACATATTAGTTTATTTTAAGGTCTTCATATATATTAGTTAGTTTACTATTTAAGTTTTCTTTTTAAATTAGTTTTAAGACCCCTTCCATCTTAGTCAATAAATAATTAGTAGATCTTAAGAGATTTTCCATTGTGCTTGATATAGATGCATAATGAATAATTATATGAAATTGGTTGATAGTTGATATCAAGAGTATAATGATGTAAATAAATTTAATTTTCGTACACAAATGAGCGTCAGTCAAGCATGCTTCATAGTTCACTGGAATAAGAGAAGAATAACTAGAGTAATCAATTAGAGAGTGGAAAAATAAGTCTCACACCTTAGCCGTAAGCTGTTGAGCCTAAACAGAAATTAATTTTTCCGGTGTGAACTTTACTGATGAATCACTCTAGAACTTGTTTTGTTTCTCTTTGAAATGGTCTGTAGTATACAATTGTTGAAATGATAGAGGCAGTTCTTTTTAAAAGCTAGATAGCCAAATAGCCACCCTGAAGGTTTATTCTTAGATTAAGCCCTTTTGAGCCGAGGCCTGTTTGTTCATTAACAGTACATTATGAATAGTCATTCCATACACATCCTCACCTGAACTGATTAATTTTCAAAATTAAATGAGGAACTGGATAGGATTGAAACAAAAAGAGAAAATCAAACTCTAAGTGTATGGGAGAAAAAGGTGAAAAGAGGGAAATTGCCACAAAGTGGTGGAAAAAAAGAAATGAAAAGAAAAAGGTTGAACTGTTTATCTGTACAAAAACAGAAAAAAGAAAAACAAAAGGAAGAAGGAAAAGAAATAAAAGACTCATATTATATGAATAAGTGGAAGAAGAAAAGAGAAGAAAAATAAGAGAAATCTGTTTACTATATGTTGAACAGTTAAACTAGTTCCTCTTTGAAGTTGAATTTTGATCATTAATCTTAAGCCACTTACCCAGATAATTCATTTCCTTTTACCCAAGCCACGTTTCAACCTTAACAAAGACCTCTTGATTGACTTTGTATTCCAGTAAGACTGTGGAGAGTGAGAATATAAACAAGCTTTTGGTAGTGTTAATTCAGTGAAGTAAGAGTGAAACACATACCCTTAAACACCGAGTGTGAGTGAATAAATAAAAATCCAGTGAGAGGGTGTTGTGGAAAATAAATTGTACTACTCTTTCTTTTGAAAACGCATGTTATGATTTTATGACTGATGAATTATGACTGTTTGCTTGAAATTGATGCGTCATTGATTTTTAATAAGTCTGAATACTTTGATATCTCATTATTGATCAGTTTTCTGTCTGTTATTCATTAAGCATGACTAGCCGTCTCCAAACTTTCCCATAGTTTTATTCTAATTAATTACTGAGGACAACAATGTTCAAATCTGAGAATTGTTTGATAAAACTTTAGTTTATCTTGTTTAATAGACTAAAATAATATGAATTATCTAGTTGAACAAGTCAAAAATTAGGGTTTTAAAATGATAATCATGAACATTATCTGATTGTTGGAACTAAATAACATAATTGCTATTTTTGAAGGGATTTGATAACAAATGGATTCAAATATGAAGATTTAGATAAAGGGAGATCAAATCAGAAAAGATATGGATAGATGGAAAGCAAAACAAAAAGATTTGAAGATCTTATCAAGATTCCCAAGTTGTTAGAAGAGGGAGCTTAAGCCCCCATTCAGAAGCTTAAGCTCTCCAAAAACGCAATTGCCACTGCCTCTGGGCGCTTAAGCCCCCAACTCAAGGCTTAAGCGCAGGACAAGAAGAAAGTTTCGTTGCGAGGAGCGCGCTTAAGCGCCCTCCAGAGCGCTTCAGCGCACAACGCGAGTCAGAAATCACCGTCCTAGGGCGCTTAAGCGCGCTACAACAAGCTTAAGCGCCCAGTCAGATCCAACTTAGGCCCATTCAAGTTTTCTACTGCAATACGAACTCTTGACCTATTTAAACACCATTGGGGACCAGAAATACGAAACTTTTACATTGCTAAACAACTCTTGGGTGCTCGGAGGCTGAAGGAACGCGGAGGAACATCAGATTCATGTTCGTGAGCGGCGGAGACGGATCAACGTCAAGTGTTCACTGGAGATATTGAAGATCCACCAATCACTTATGGAGTTTGGGGGAGCTTTTCTATTTTCTTTTGTTCTTGATTTTGCCATGTCCGGCTAGTTCTTTAAGTAGTTAGGGTTAGATGGATTTTAGTCGATTTATTATGTTTTGATCAATTCGCTGTGTTAATTTTCCTTTATATCATGAATGAAGTTATCTGTTTTTAATGCTTTATATAGGCTTGAATCTTATATAATGATCATCGGTGAATGCATGACAATAGGAATGTTGGTGTGTGATCCATATCTGATAACTTCATCGTAAACGCTATGATTCTAGGGATAGACATAGGGTTTGCGTAATCTTTAAGATTCTTGAACTTAATGCTTGCATGCTTGGGGAATAACCTGGGAACTAGGGTTCTTCCAATATTGTAAAGGTTTTAGAGTAACAAGGGATTGAGCTCTAATAACATGCGAAAGAATTGATTAGATTGATACTAAGGACAATTAACATTAAGAAGGAATTCAAACGTAATAAGGAGACTAAATGAAATCGAACCCCTAGCTACGTTTTTATTTTATCAATTTAGTCAAATCCTTAATTTCTTGTTTTTAATTCTTGCGAGTAATTAGCTTTAATATTTAATATTTTAATTTTGCTATTCAAATCCTGTTTCCAAATACAACTTCGATTGTCCAACTAAGTTTGCGATAGTGAATTAGTGCTTGAACCGTAATCCTCGTGGGAATGATCTCTTACTTAATCAGTATATTACTTGTACGATCGGTGCACTTGCCGTGAGTAGCAACAGCTGAGGTTCAAGCAGGACCTCCACCACCTCCACTATCTCCACCACCACCACAGCAGGACATACAGGAATATTATAGGACACGAGGTAAGGATACTACAGGCAAGAGTCTCCAAAGGAAGAGTACTCCCTGGAACGAGAAGAGCAATGACTTGAAGGTGAAGTAGAACGGAAACAAGTCTAAGAGAAATAGGAACTTTAAGAAGAAAAACGGAAGAGCTGAGAATGGGAAAACTCCTACTTGTGCTAAATGTGGGGTGTCTCATTATGGTGTCGGGCGGATTGGGTGAAATGTATGCTACAGTTGTGGTCAAGCAGGATATTTTGCTAAAGAGTGCCCGAGGAAAAGAGGACAGGTTACGGCTATTCAGGCTGTTCCGATGTAGGCTATTCTGACTTCCACTACTATTTAGGAGCATCTAGTACCTCCAATTGAACGAGTTTATGAAGTTACCCTGCAGGACACAGAGAAGTCTCCAAATATGATCAAAGGTACCATTTCCATTGATGGCCATGATTTTGATGCACTGTTTGACTCGGTAGCCACACACTCCTTTATTTCGGGTTTTATTGCGAATGGTTTGAACTTGCCTTGGTATGGATTTACACCTCCTATGGTAGTGAAGACTGCCATCGGAGATTTAGTTTCCACTTCATTGAGGTGTAAGGAAGTCAAGTTCAGTTATGAAAAGAAAGAGTATATGGTTGATCTGATTGTGCTTGAGGGTATGAATATGCACATCATTCTGGGCATGGATTGGTTTGTCAGATATGGTGTTATGATTTATTGGTGTAGCGGGAAGATTTATTTCTCTGCTAAGAATGAGAAGAAATACTCCATATATTTATCAGTGTTACAGATGATTAAGGCTCTAAATACAGGAGATATAAGATTTATTATGTTAGGATGATTGGTTGGTAACTTTAAGGAGCCAACTTCGAGTATCCCTATTGTATGTGACTTTGAGGATGGATTCCTGTTGCGACTCGGCATATGCACCAGTCGTAAAGTAATAAAGTGTACCGGAGTACGAGATCGTTCCCACGAGGATCGGATTTTCAAGCACTAGTTCGCTAATCGCGTTTTAGTTGGACAATCAAGAATTGAATTTGAGAGAGTTGTAATTGAAGAATTTAAAATAAAAACAAGTAATAACATGCAATTAAAAAAAAAACAGAATTAAAAAGACAATTGAAAAAGATGATGATTGATTAAATAATTAAAACAAGCGTAGTTAGGGTTTCGACTTCCCCCAATATCCTCGTTATGCTATGAATTAAACAGTCAAGAATCTTTTTTTAATATAATGCCAATCAATTCTATCTAAGTTAATTAGGATTCAATTCCTTGTTACCCTAAATCTATGTAATCTTGAAAGAACTTTATTTCCCCGATTATTCCCCAAGAAAACATGCATTAAAATCCAGAATTCCAAGATTGCATAATTACCCTATATCTATCCCTAGATCACAAGGATTATGATAAATTTATCAAGTCAGGGTTCATGCACCAACATCCCTATTGTCATACAATTCCCCTAAATCAATCTATAAGGAGCAAACTCATAGAAAGCATTAAAGACATAAAAATATTCAATTATAAAAAGAAAAGAATTCAAGAACAATTTAATCCATAAACATAAATGATTCAATTGGGTTCCATCTACCCCTAACTACATAAAAGACTAGCCTAGTGATGACCGTGAGTTGAACTTGAACTGGGTGGGAGAATTCCTATACCAGACGAGGAGGCTGCCCGAAGAGGAGGCACCTGATGTGGTCACAGTGAGGGGAAAACAAGTATCATTTTCCCCGCTGATGTCCAGGAAGTACTCCATATTCCCTCTGTCACCAACTGTCCATACTAGGAATATTTGGATAGTAGGGAGGTGTACAAATTTCAGAAGGATCTGAAGCAGACAGTAGCCCTGAACAATCCCAACTACTACAAAGGGTCTCTCTGCAAGGAGAGCATGAAGGACATAGCCATGTTCTGGGCGCTGTTTGCTAACTCCAACATCACCCCCACCTCTCATGAAGCCTCTGCTAGCTGGGGACTTCAATTTCAAATTTACTGTATCATTAAGCACATCCCTTTTGATGCAGTAACCCTCATCGACAACAGCTTGCAGAGGGACATAAGGAAGACTAAGGTCTTCCTCCCCTGCCTCATCACCAAACTCTGCAGGAGAGCTGGTGTAGAGGATCACCCAGATGACACCACGAAGGTGGCATCTATCCTTGATGCTAAGACCTGGAACGGTCTTAAAAGCACCTACATTGACACCACCCAACCTATTCCTGCCAATCTCGAACGTTCCCCCACCAGAGATAGTGAGGAGGAAACACCTGTGGCCTCACTGAAGAAGACCACCAAGACCACTCCTACAAAATCCTCCTCCTCTGGCCACATTCCGGCCAGAAGAACCATCCCTCCTCCTACCAAGGTGAAGAAGGATGCCCCGGTTGCTACTGATGGCAAACAGGGCAAGAAAAAATCTCCTGCCAAACCTCCCCCAAGAAAAGGGGAACGTTCAAGTCAGAGGAGAAAGAGGGTCCTCAATAGCAATAGGCCAGAAGGAGCATCCTCTGCAAAGCCTATCACCCTCTCTGACAAGGAGGGGGAGAGTGAAGACAATGAGCCTTTGGCAAAAAGGCTGAAGGCTGGCAGAATGTCAGCAACCAAACCAGCTGCCAAGGAGACGTCCCAAAGCAGCTCAGACTCTACATTTTCTGACATTCCGTCCCCACTACCTGTTCACTCTCCACCACAACAAATCACCCCACAACCCTCTCCTAGGCAACAACAAGGAGAGGGACAGAAAGACAAAGAAGCAGCATCTGCTGCAGAGACATCAGTGTTTGAGCAAGAGGCTCAGCCACAAAAGAAAAATGACAAAGGAAAGGGGATTCTCATAGAACCCCCTAAGAAGAAAGCAAAGACAACAGGCCCAAGGCAGATCAATCTGGGAGGTCCTCTGTCATTTCCTGTCATCCGTCCCGATACATCTGGGGACGAAGCTCTTGCCAGAGCTTTGGCAGAAGAAGAAGGGATGGCAATTCCTCCACTGATGAAGGAACAAGCTGCGACCATGCCCTCATCATCCAGACCACCAGCGGATGAAACCAGCACAGCACCCGTTGTGCCTTCTACGGTTGGCAATAGCCAACAGAAGAAGCAACCTACTTTCTTCCCTACTGCAGCAATCCCCATCGCAGCTAGAAGAAAATCATAAATTGGGATTGCTGAAATCTTTGAAATGCTGGGGGAGAGATTAGAAAAATGGTTGCCAGCCAAGAAGTCTGTTCCCCAACTTGACATGACAAGCACCAATGCAGAGCTGCAGGCTCTAAGGGACGGACTGGCACAGCTCTCCTCTACCTTCAACACCCTTCAGGAACAGCAGAGGAAGGAGAGAGAACAACAGCTCAGCACCATAAAAGCAGCCATCAAGGAAGCCAGTGCTGCATCCTATGAATCAACACTCCAAGCAGTCCAAAGAAAAATTGCTAAAGCAGCTAACTCCCTAATCCTTTCCAACTCTCTGCGCAACCACACAGCAGAGCTCTTACTCAACAGGCTCGTCTCCAAACAAGCTGAAGAACGTAAGGAAACCAAAGAAGCCATCAGGGCCTTTGGAACATATCTGGACAGGAGAATTTATGAGTTGGAAACGAGACTGCTGGATGTTGAAAAACAAGTCATCCATTTTTGCACTGGAAGAACAATGATGAGGTCCACCATCAACTCCCTGGTTGCAATCATCAGCGATCTACTGAAGGATGCTGAAAAATGGCTCCCTGTAAATGAAGTCCGCAGATTGCAAGATCTGCTCAAGAGGAGACCATTAACCCAGGAGGATATTGATGAAGCCAAGGAAGCTGAAGCTGCAAAGAGGAACCCTTGGGACAGGAGACCTCCACAATGAAAAGGAGAAACCCTCCTATTTATCTTAGCTTAGTTGTTTTCAATTCTGTTTTTAATTTAGTTTCTTTCTGTTCCCTTGTAATTAATCTTTTTGAAATAGAAAAGACTTTTTTTTATCAAACTGTTTGGTACATGCATGCATTTCAGTTATAGTATTAAGACTGCCCAATTATTTTGGATTAACAAACATACATGAAACACAAAGTCGCTGATTAATCATGCTTGTTCTTTCTCTGAGTACTTGAAAATAGAAACAGTGCAGGGAATTTAATCCTCAGATTTTTGAAAGAAGCTGATCTGTGTGAACTCAAAGTGGTAAGGAACGGAAAAATGCCAAACACCTACTTCTGAGAGCGTTCTTGAGATGTAACCACAATGAAACTTCTCAGCTTGCCTTAATGTTGTAAGTACTGCTGAAGACAGATGAATTCAGCTGTCAAGGATCAAAACAGAATCACACACTCACCTCACCTCCATCGTACACCATCTGATCAATCAGAAAGAACCAGGAACGTACTCAACAATGAACAAAAAGGGACAGAAGAAAAACAAAGAAAAAAGGGGAACAACCATTCAAAAGAATTTAAGAAAAACCAGAAAACCTTCCTCCAAAGGGGGAAAAAGGTTCAAGAAAAGGTGTTCCCTCAAAACAGAAAAAGTCCAAGTTCAAGGGCACAAAAGCTAAACGTTCCTTGATCCCACAAATCAGACCACCACTTCTTCCACATTTCCATACACTTACCCATCAAAGAATCCTTGGAACGGAAGACAGCTGTACTTCATAGGAACGCAGCAGAAAGGAAAGTTCTGAAGAATCACATCCAGGAATGGACAGAGCAAACACCAACCCATGAGTGACAGTGAGACAAAAGATCAGCAACTTTCTCTTATCTGGGGACAGAATCCTCTTACTGTTTACTATGAAGAGTAGTTCATTTTTTGAAAAGTTCATGGTTGCTCACTGGCTCAAGTTCCTTTCTGTTATGCTATTCTTTTAAAATGGGCAGACCAATACAATATTTCTGAGTTGTTTGAGCACAACCAACAGTTTAGTTTTGGGGGGTTTGATGGGATGTAAATTCGTTCCCATCTAAGCCCATTTTGATGGCAAAATCCCATACGTTCCCTCATCAGATAAGCAACTTCAGCATAAAAATCACTTGTTTTACACATTTGTGACAAAAACACAGTAGGGGAACGGATGGTAACGTATTTCTTTAAAATATATTAAAAGGGGAACGAACTGAGACGCATTTAATGCACCTGCTCCATTCATTTAATGCTTCTGTACACTTTGCAGGTAATGTAGAGGTAAAGACTTCTAAAAAGCAAGGCAGTGCACCAACTGAGCAGCTGGAAACGTGAAGAGCAAAGAATCAAGAGTTCTCATTGGCTGAAAACAGAAGAAAAACATGGGAAGGTCTGCAAACAACGACTAATCATCACCAAATCCTGTTCCATTCAGCAATTCACGCAAGCTTCACACTCTGCTGCCACAGTCCCGTCCCCTCATTCAAGCAACTAGCTCTAAAGGAATTACAGTCTCTCCACTCCTCTTCCAGCTATAAATAGGACCACCCTCACACAAAAACATCATCGAATCCTGGAGGGTTTGCAGTCCGAAAGGAAGAGATCACTTAGTAGTAGTTAGTAACTTAGTTTAATTTTAAGTTGTAACTGTAGTTAAGTGACAACCCCTCTTCTCTTCTCTGTAAACAACCATCAAGACTCCTCACGAGCGAATACCCATCTTTCTCTATTTTCTGTCTCTTTTTTGTAAACTGTCTTTTAAATTAATATAAGTGTTTTTCTCTTCGTTCCAATCGTTATCCCTTGACTGAATCTTGGGTCTATGTGATCTCAGTTGAGAATAATTATGTTTAAACTATCAGCCATGAGCTGAACTATCTGTGGAACGGGTAAACTGTGAAACTCTTAAAGAACTATTTTCAAAACTCTTGGCCGAAGCTTTTTGTATTTCTT